CGATGTGTAAAGTTCAGGCAAGGGAAGAAAAAGGCAGCCGTGCATGGTGCTATCCTCGTCAGACCCTTGTGAGCCCTGCTCGTCGAATTAGATGCTTGGTAATCAACAAGTCCAAATGGAGGATCTTTGTGTGTGTGCACGTGTTATCGTATCATTCACACATTCATCATTTGCCACTCGGAACTAGTCTTAAAAAAAAAACATGAATGCCTGTGCTTTTGACAGCGTTTCTCACGAGTGTAAATACATGGCGAGAATCAACAACGATCCTATTGCACAATGTGTCTGTACACATACATATATATGTGTATGACAATTTACAATCGTCTTCTTATTGTCGCATGGCCGATGTAGATACAGAGCAACGACTACAATGTCACATTCAGGTGGTCCAAGCCAAATAACCGCGTCACGAGTCGCGGAGTGTCTCGTCGCTGTGATGCCTATTTCATATTTGTGGATCGGACATAGCTTCGCCAAATGTAAAAGTTGCACGGTCTGTTCCGGACGGCCACAGTCGCACACTGCTGGAGCGTTTGTAACTTTCCATTTGTGAATGAGGTATCCTAATCTGCCATGCTTTGTGTGGCTGTCGTGTAGAGAGAGAGTGGACCTTGAGCTTCGTGGAAGATAAAACCCAGGCATCTTCTACGTTGGCTTTTTCACAAGGTGTCTCCTCGTGGAACATGTTAAATGACACTTTAGTCTGTGGACTGGCATGAGTCACACGGAACTTACGTTTGGGAAGCCCTGTAAAAGGGACAAGTGCAGTCATTGCAAGGTATGCATCTGTTCATGGAAAATAGCCAAATATTTACACAAGCAGTTTGGTAGATGGAGACAAAGGAACACATTCTTAAGCCGATCGTGTTTGGACGAAAGCGTGACCGCTGTGAAAAATTGTTTTTGACAGTTGCGGCCTTCCTCTTCAGGGTTATCCTGTTTACTTTTGTGGTTAAGGCGACCGTTCTGCGGTGTTTCCCGAGCACTTGTCTTCATTCGATTTCATCCGAGGCCTTCTCTGGTCCTGTATTCAAACATTGAAATGACTGTATTAACCAGCTTTGCTCAAGTCTATACGTGTCTCGGTATTCCATGACAAGACTGAATCTATAAACATACTGTGTATGTGAGCATGCTTACATGTCACAAGTCAAAGTTAATCGAGGGCAGCCCATCCTACAATTGGCGGTGTGACACTCACTGCCTACCAGACACTCCCACCTCACGCCAGAGACTCATAACTGGCCTCACACACTACTCCGCTGAGATCGCTCACCGGACAATAATACTCACCTGACACCTCTCACCAGACACCCACATATTCATAAGACTACGATGGTTGAATTCCCACAAAATAATACTCCTATGATATTCAACGCATGCTATTTTATGAATGCAAGCTGTTAAATATGTACATCCGACTTCTGTGTTAATTACATCCTAAATATGTGTTTTTCTTAATATGCATGACTTATTGTAATTAACCACTAAACCCTCAATAATCTCTACAGTAATATTGCAACAAAAAACCCCTGACATAACGTGATTTCAGCGATTATACAATTGCCCTGTAACTACTGTCTACCCAAAACGTCGCAGTAATGCCAAATACTGCAGTCGTCACTGCGATGCTGGATTGGGCTGTTCCTTTTTAAGTGTTCGTTTGTCAAACCACAAACACCCACGCAGTTTTTTTTTTTGCGAGTGACGTGGCCTGTGTCATCATGGGATCATGAGTGAGTGATAGTGACGATGGGGGAAGGGCCATCATCCAGCAGTAGATATATCACGGATGATGATGATTTGTATTATGTTATGACACATGTTTACCCCGGAAAGCCTCACTGAATCAAAATACAATCTTTCAGGAGGGTCCTGCCAAGCTTTTGCAGCAGGGTGAAATGTTGCAAAATGTAATCCCAATAGAGTAAATTGTAGGTAGTTTTTTTTTTAGCATTGAGATGTTTGGCCAATAGAAGTGACATTGAATGAGTTCATACTTCTTGGTTCTTTCGGTAAAGTCACGTAAAATAATTCTCACAAATTTTATTATGTTTTATTTTTATTATTTTGGTACTTCCCTTCTACGTGACTTTACCGAAAGAACCAAGAAGATGAATCCCTGCAGTCACGAAAGCTTTAAATCGAAATTTGAGTTCATACTCTTAGGTTCTTTCGGTAAAGTCACGTATGTAAAAAAAAGAATAATAATAAAATAAAATAATAATAAATGAAAATAACTTAATTAAATCACTTACTCTGATTAATAACGATCTTGTTAACATCCAGCTTTGTGATGTGTGGTTCTGGCTTCTTCTTTGATATGAGGTTGAATTTAGAGATCAGGTTAGCTTTGCACTTGGCTGACAGTGAATCAGCAGAGGCAGCAGTCATGTTGTCAACGTGGTTCCAATCAGAAGGGGACATTTTTTGTGTTAAACTTAAATGTGTTTGTAAGAGAGTCTTGTCTAAACTATCGAGTTAAAATCGGAGTAACCTTATTCTTTGAGATTAGTGATAGGCTAGCTTTAAATAAAATCTGTTTAGAGTTCGGTGAAGATACAGCAACCGATGTGAGTGTGAAAGCGACGGGTATTACCTTGTTATCGCGGCATCTCTTGAGGAAGGCCAGTGTCTCGAGAAGCTGTGACGTCTTGTCTCGTTGTCTGTTAAAGACTCTAACAGATAGGTGAAATTCCTCCCCGTAGAGGGAATTAATTCTAGATTTGAAGCTTTCGTGACGGCAAGGATTCATACTCTTAGGTTCTTTCGGTAAAGTCAAAGAAGAAGCCAGAACCACACATCACAAGCTGGATGTTAACAAGATCGTTATTAATCAGAGTAAGTGATTTAATGTATTTATTTTCTATTTTATTTTATTATTATTCTTTTTTTTACCTACGTGACTTTACCAAAAGAACCTAAGAGTATGAATCCTTGCAGTCACGAAAGCTTCAATCTAGAATTGAATGAGTTGTTTAGCTTTGGGAGGACACTGGAACTCGCTGGAGGAAACTGATGCAGAATAGGGGGGAAACAGAAACTCCACAGCGAACGGCATGGAACTGAGGCCCTTCTTGCTTTGAGCCACAAGTCCCACCGCTGATGAAAAGGATGTTGTCAATTTCGTACGTTTGTATTACTATTTTATTTATTTGTTATTATATAATGTTTTTTTTCATATTTTAGATTTTCATATTTTTAATGATTATGCAGAAATTGTATCAATTTTGACTTTAAGCTTTCGTGACTGCAGGAATGCATATTATTTGGGTCTTTCGGTAATCTATCTACGTGACTTTACCGAAAGACCCAAAGAATATGTATATATTTTATTTCGCGGTGAATATTTTTTTTATTTTATTAAATATTTCGCACGTTATTTTAGTATTTCTTTTCTCACTTTTTGTTGTGTCACCGACAATCCATTGTGATAGTGCCTACATTTTATTCCGAACAAATCTTATGCAGATTAAAATGGACATGTGTATTTTGTATATGTTTTCTTATATAGTCGGGCAGTAAAATAATTGTCAGTTGTGTTTTAAGCATTATTGTTATCGCTACTCTTGTTTACCCACCAAAACATTACTTAGTGTCATGACTCTTTTTCAGGAGGGTCTTGACAAGTTGTATTCCCAGTTAGATCACATGACTCATTTCTCTGATGCAGACACCCACGATGCTTAGTTGCATTGCCAGTGACTCAGAAACCTGTGCACAAAAGGCAGTCAACCTAGAGCAGTGAGTGAAGGAGAACTTTCACACCCAAACAACACCAAAACAATCCACAATCCATCATGTTTGAGAGAGCACGGCTGCAGAGTGAGGCCTGGCCAAATATTATTAAACCCCTATGATACAGAATGCCTTTATTTTCGTTCCCTGCACCTGTGTTGATGCATAATAAACAGACTCTCACTGGAAGCACAGATTATTTAGAAAGCCTTTCTCTCGCAGGGTTGTTTAGTTTTTTGCCCTGCTTTGTAGTGTGCGAGCAATGCTTTTAAGCAAACAGATTACCGATGATCACGCTCAGGTGTTAGATTGAGACATCCCCTGTGCGTTTGGAATTGCCCCTTTTAAGAGTGGAGTAAGTGGCTTACGTGAGTGGTTCCCCTTGCATGGGTATGGAGCGAGCATCTCTGGCACTGTTATCGAACCCTGGGAAAATCGCAAAAAGTAAGTGTCCTCCCTCCGCAAGCAAGTGTGGGTGGCCCTGTTCGCCACCCTGAGCCAGTGGTGGAAATTTCACAATCCCGTGGCGGGCGGGGGGGGGGTCAGTCCATTCAAAAGACAACGATTGGTAAATTTCTACTAAGGTGGTACAAATGCCATCAATCCAAAGCGTGCGATGAGCTGATTTGACCAATGACTGGAATTTGAACTCCTCTCCGCCTGATGGATGCTGCCAATGGTGTTGCGGTCAGCGCCCTGGACAATCCACAACGCGAGAACTCAGCAGGCAGCCACGACCTTCTGTGGGCAGGTTATGACGCGAACAAGACGGGCGAATAGAATAAGAACCATCGAGTGCGGTTTATGAAGCTGTTAGTTGAGCCCCTGTGTGTGCGAGAGGGGGGCTGTGGCAAAGTCATTATTTCAGTTCTGTTTTGTTTTAATGCAGTACTTGAATTGCAAAGGAAAATCCAAAAAGTTGACATTAACAAAACGCTTCGTGATAACATGGCTTTAACGAACAAACTACCTCCCGAATTTATCACAGTGCTGCAGTATTGCGTCTCGACCATTATAAATCAGTGCATATATATTTGTTGAGGGGAGGGGGGGGTGCTCAAAATCCAAGGTCCTCCCACAGGCTGCAGCCCCTCGCGAAAGCCCCCTGCGTTATTCCGGCTCCCGGTGCTCGCCAACGGCACTTGGCCCTGCTCCCCGTCCGACCGGGGGCTGCAACGGGTCGGTCGCCGTGCATCTGTCTTTGTGCTCGCGAGCCACCCACGCCCGTGCCTGTTTCTCCTCGCTTCTCTCTCACGCAGGGTTGAACGTGATGTTCCGCTTGGGCCTCAGCATACTGCAGCTGTTGGAGGAGCGCCTTTTGGAGATGGCCGACGTTTCACAGATCCTGCCTGCGCTGCTCAGGGTCCCAGCTGACGTGTGAGTTGGAGGCCACCACCCCCCTGCCCCTCTCGAGGCTGCTCCCTTTTAACGATCTGCTTGTCATGCTAATTTTTCCGTGAAGGTGGCTGGGTGCTAATACTGCGGCTTTGTGTGATGAACACTGACTCGACACTGCCGCTGATCCGCGAGGTTTCAACCCGAGCAGCATTCACCATTGAATTGTCAAATGCAGCCAATTTGACGCGCTCAGATCGGGCTACGGTGGCTACGCACGCAAACACAAAATGTAAAATTTTCACTTTTCACTTCGTTCATCTTAGCTCAGCACATACTGCTGACACGTATAATGCTTATACGTCGATTGACATGCGGTGAACGATTATTCCCAGAGCGTGAAGGACTGGAGTCTAGTATTGCGTAACAGAGGCTGTTGTCTTTTCCCCTGCCAGGACGGTCCTCCAGTAGAATGTTTGGCCACTTCCATGACATGGATGTGGTAATGAATCCAGCTTAATGTGGTTATATACGCTTTCATTGATTTATTTCAATAATTATCATAAGAAGCATAAACCATCACGCTAACTCCCGTCATCCTCGCAGCGGCGGCTTTTGGCGAGCTATCGAAAAAAGACGGTCACCGCATCCCGCGCTTTCAGATGCGCTTCTGCAGCCGTCTGGAACGCTCTTCCGTCCGATATTCAGAAGCCACTGGAGTTATACACTTTTAAATCTAGATTGAAAACTAATTTCTTAAGAGCTCCTTGTTGTGCTTAGTTCGCTGTTCTTCCCCCCACCTCCTATTAGCATGGTTGGCTACGTACAGGACGAAATAAGTTAAGCATATATACGGTACACATATACAGCAGAGGAAGGCCTCTCCACGCCATGTTGGTCATGGGGGATGTTTGACCATACTTCACTACACCGTTCAGCGTGGGTTGGTGACGTGGGGGACCCAGAACGTGCCAACTCATTCTCAGACTCTAATTTTCGCTGATTCCGAGGCCCCAGTGATCGAAGCACCGCTGTTACAAGGACGACCACAGACGAAGATCGTCGGCAGTGGTGACAGTTACAGGACATTTCAGGTTGGGAATGTGCAATCTAACAAGAGCAAAAATAACACATTATGTAGTACATGCTACTGAGGCTAGACGTGGCTGGGTATAGAATTCGAGTTGCTGGCATTGTAGCCCAATGTGCTGACCACTGCATCACCACTCCAATGCTCTGCCCATAAGTTTCTTGCTTAGTGTCTCATAATTCGTTTATTGAGATCCACGGTAATAACAAGCCACTTGCGGGTCAGCGATCAAAGTCGGACCGAGCCGTTAGTCCCTCTAACAAAAAACACACAAATAAATAAAGGGAATTCCAGCGTGAATTCATAAGTTTACAGCCACCGCTCTTTGACCGCCGGTGTGCAAATAATCAGGACATTGGCGTCTCTCCTCCTGCTCACCCACGGAGGGCCCTTTTAAGTTTTTTTTGTCTTTCCAGAGGGTGAGTGATGTTGGTGTTTCCATTTAATGGCCTAAAAAGCCATTCATTCCACCCACTGGCCCAGCTCGTCATTGAAGGAGGAAGCTTCCCCCCGCCCACCCCCCGAGTTATTTTCACACAAAGGCCCTCTGCCATGTGCTGGTGTACTGGAGGGCCCAAATGCCACTAGGATCGATTTTTTTGGACGATGCGTGTTCGGGACCTTGAAAAACGCACACTCAGAATGCAACATCGTATCTATTGCTGCCCGTTTAAAGTACGTAAATAAATACGCAAACAAGCAATGCTTTTTGATGAAGACTACTCGAGTGACTGCATAAAACACGGATGTTGAATTAATATTTGTCGTCATGATTGGTAGAAATGTCAAGTTGAAACTCAGCCCATCAATCCACTCTGGAGTTGATAAGATCAGTATCACCTTATGGGAAGTCAACAGTGGTTATCATATGGATATACTGGATCCCACCAAGGGGATTTTGAATTTTCCACCACCATCTCAAGGGGACACTCTTTAATGAGAGGTTCGCTGGACTGAGCAGACACCCAGGTAGGATTTGAACTCACTACCTTCTGATTGTGGGGTTAAGTGCTTCCACATTCATCAACAAATACTATCTCTGGTCCCTTGGACGACTAACATCTTATGGATAAATTCATTTCACCATCGAAAATATGGATTTTCTACCACCGGCTTAGGACTGTAAACATAATTTTAGCACCATCTCTTACTGGTTTAATTGGAGACCATTTTAACTTTAATTCTGGTTATCTGTGATGGTCGTTGCTGCTGTTGGGATAACACTATGCAAACAGAAAAACAACTGGTCTCATTACCTGAAAGCATGACTCACCAGCTCTGTGATGTTTTGCACAGTTTGAAGAGTGAAAGAGGTTCGTTGATGGGAGATAATTCACGCAGAGGCTGATACAGAGGCGAGAAAATTGGGTTGGAGTGAGCAGACAGAGCAGTGTCAAAACATGCGGACAATCCGCCGTAAGTTGTTTTTGTGCAACACTGCAATTTTTTATAATTCATATGTAATTGTTTTGAGTTCATTCAAATTTAGTGTGCATAACAATTACCGCGTAAGAATGTGCAGCTGATAGTACTAAAGTACTGTGGATAGATTCCTGTATAAAAAAAACCAAGGGGCCCTATTCAAACATACATTTTGATAGAACAATCCACATGTCAATGCAAAGCTAAATCATGTTTTTGTATTGCTCTCTAAACTTTGTGTAGAGCGACAGAAAAGAAGCAAACGTGCTAATGAAGAAGATAGCAAAGGAGATATGAAAATAATCTTCATTATGATTCGAATTTGTTGATGATATCGATGAAGACTGTGATGGTAATGGTGACAGTCCTTTATTTAGACAGGAATGCCTGACACACAAATAGAAAGATCCCCCATATAGCCTGAACAGACTGTTGGGGCAAGTACTGTTAGCGAGCACCTATTAAGACCGGCACGGCATATGAGGGGGTGGGTGGCCAGCACCACGCCCGGCCGCCTTGGTCTCCTTCGTGGCAATCTTTTCACACTGCACCAGGTACTAATTTGAGGCTGAGTTTACCTAGGGGAGGCCCAGGACAAGTTCAGATAATCGTCACTGGTGTTGGCCATGAGCGGGAATCAAAATCAGGTAGCCGGGTTCGTAGAGCAGCGCGCTAACCGCTACGCTACCGCTCCCCTTACACAATACAGCACACACACACACACTTGCTGATATGCAATATACATGTAAAATACCACTGCAGGACCCTCCTGGAAGCATGCCTTGAGACTCAGTGAGGCTTTACATCCAGACAGAGATGGCATTGTGGCAGGACATTCGACTCACAAGCGAAAAGTAAAAATCCTGGATCAAGGATGCTTAGTATTCATACAACATGCAGCGCAACGTGCAAAGCCCATCGCAGAGCCAGACGGCACAACGTATGCAGTAGCACACGTGCATCGCGACTCGCGTTCCCTCACATTTCTACACATGTGCAAAAAACACTCTAATTAAACCCACATCTCATGGTTATTTATGCTTGCTGTTGTTTCCAATGATGTGCTGTCTGATCAAGGCAGACTAACTAAAGGACCTGGAGTGACTTAGGAACAGCGCAGGCTGTAAATAACCGATCTCTTTCAAACGATGCGGCAGGGGTGCTGCCTTCCGAGAAGCCGATGGATAGTCTTACCACCTTTTTGCTGCTGTGTAGCAAACCCAGACATATCTCTCCATCAGCACAAGGTCTAGCAAAACTGTGCATTATTCTCTAAGAAATGTCAATATTACCTCGGTACCAGATCTCGCTACAAATCAAATCCCTGCCACGCTAACTCAGATGCAAATTCCCGGCCTGTCTGGGTCACATGGAGACACATGCAAACATTAACCCAAGGAGTATGCTTGTATCACATAAAGTAGCGCATCGGCGATTGTTCATGCCTGCCAGTCTGAACAGAGATGCCAATTCCCGAACTGTCTAAGTCAAGCTCAAACAGGTGGTATAGCCCTCCCGATGGGAGACATTGGAGGCATGCTCCCAACACACGATGGACGCCATCGTCCTCTCAACACTCGATGATGTCTCAGTTGTTTTGGCACTCCCCGCCCCATGCCCCAAGGCAGATTTCAGTTTTGTTTTTTCTAAAACAAACCCACTTCCAGGAAAATTATTCATTCAGCACATTTCCAGGATTCTGTGAATAAATGCAGCAGTGCTGTTGCACGATCCCGGTATAATAGCACTTTGCACATTCTCAGAATGGGATGCTGTCATTGTGTAATGGTTAGCACACTAGACTTGCGCTTCAGAATGGTGCAGGCTCAATCACTTTGACCAGGGGCGGTTTCTTCATTAGGGCAATTGGGCGACGCACCACCAATGTCATTAAACCACAGAGTCACGCTAGCAGTCACTGTGCCTCTGGATATAGTCCAATCAGCGTCATGTCACGTTCTGTGGAGTACCGCCTCTTCTTGGGCGATTTCACTCCGGCTGAGAATCGCCCCGAGTGGCCCCATAGACTTACATTCAAAGATGTTTTTTTTCGACCGGGGGGCGCTCCAATGCATTCTCTATGGCTTCCGGGAGGGCTCGCCCGAACGTGCTTACGTCATCATACGTGCTTACGTCATCATACGTAAGCACGTTTCATCCAACAATATAATTTGTGGCCACCTAGTGGAATCTTTAATAAAATAAACTTGAGTGGTTTGTTTTAATAGTGAGTATAGAAACAAACAATATGTATTGTAAGAGTCACTTTATTTTTCATTAATATTAAAGAAGTGAAGTTGCCTTTACATGCTTAAGCTGTTAATTTATCCATTGCATGGGTGGACCTTATCCTTTTCAATCATCCAGACATTTGCCCCCCCTGAGAGATTTTGCAGGAGCCGCCACTGTCTTTGACAGTCTTTATTTTGTGGGCCAATATCCCCTCAATAAAGTAGGTATCGTTGCACATTGCAACGATCGATCTCGATGGGCGTCAGTTGAAGTGAAGTGATATTATACCAGGGTAGTG